AAATGCTTGATTTTGATGATTTTTAGCACAAAAATGGCCACCATTCGACCATCTTGAATCAGATCGTGAAACAAATTGATGTGCATATGTATAATATCATGTATGATGTATGTGTGAAGTTTGATTGTGATTGGTCCAGGCATTTCTAAGATACAGGTCCAAATGCACGCATGCACACACACACGCACGGACGGACACACGGAGGTCAAAACAAAAGTCCCTGTTTTCGGACTGCGTCCGAAAGGGGACTAAAAACTAATAAATAAATAAATAAATATAACATTTTGTTTTAATATTATCATTTATGCAATGTACTTATTTTACTTTTGTCTCAACTGAATTTTCTGTTTTTACTTTTTTATTATTATGATTTTATTCTTTATTGTAATTTTATATATATCTCAATAGAGATTTGATAATAATAAAGTTATTATTATTACAAATCAGATAATGGTAGACTCTTCATAGGTAGAGAGTAAGGCATCTACATCTCCTAAGTAAACAAATGGTGTCACGATGGCCCACCCTGTGTTTAGAGAACCGATTTTACTGTTGGAACTTTTTAACATAACAAAGTGACCTGAATAAATTAGCTGTTCGATACGCCATCTTGTTGAAGTTAGCATCCACTTTCTGTGAAATTACTGAGTTTTGCCACCTATTGTTCAGAATGTATTAGTCTTCATAGATCAGACACCTGTACATGTATGCAGTGTGATCAAAATGGTATACATTCGGTAATTATCTGTTTATCCACATGCAGTCAAATACACAACCGTTTCATGGCGTTTTTACAGAACAAGCTAAAAATCTAGACATGAATCGCACTTACCTGACTTTTTCCTTTGCTTATACCCATACTGATGTAAAAAAGACTCTGTTTGATGGTAATTGTTTTGAAGATAATGATACATTACTTTACTCGCTGCTAGGATGTTATCGAATGAAACTTCGTCATCTCTCAATTCAATTATTTTGCATCTCAGATCGTTCTATATGTTTAACAAAAAAACAAAAAAACAAAAAAATCTTACAAAAAACATCTCTAATAGATTCATAGATAAACCAAAAATATGGAAATCTAACATTGATACATCTGTCTTGATAATGCTACCTGATACTGCATACACATGTTTGTATCATTTTCTATACAAGCCAGTATTTATCATGTTTATAATCATATAAGATTATGGAAAGAACAAAAAATGCAGTTTGTTTTGTGTAATTGCTGACATGCACTAATAACATAATCCATGGGTACATTAGATTATACTTGCTATATACTAGACAAGAGTTGTATAAACATGTTAAATTCCTACTTTGTATGATCTGCATAAAACCTCTAACTGACTCCTGTGAGCATTATCACGGCTTTGGGGTGTGTATACGTATTAGTTTATAAAAAATCATTTCTAACAGAACCATTTTAAAATTTTGCAAAAAAATATAATAATTATGTGGGTACATTTCGAAAAAGACGACAAATTTTGAATTTGTAATTCAAATAGTTAAAACTATCAGTTGATGGTTTTATGTATAGTTTGACAATGCTATCTATACTTGTCTACTGTGCTATCTAACAATAGTCAATACATCTCTAATACAGGTACCTACATGTACCAATAAACCCATATTCCATCATATTGCAGTTAGTCTGTTGCCATTTTCTCTTTGTAACTCACATTAATATTCTTTACTTCCTTCAGCATATCTCTGAGTGTCAGTTCTGCTGATACATTAGATGAATCCCTTTCTGAACATGGTTTTTCTATGATTGCTTGTAACTCCACACTTTGTTTCTTCACATCTATTGCTATTCGACGAAGTCGGGCAAACAAATTCTCATCTTTTCTGTTATTCATATTCTGTGAGATCAATGAGCACTGGTTCTAGAATTTATCAAATACGAAACAGAATAATAGAACAAGCAGCCTCTCGGCTAAGATGGCTGCGCTGCTAGCAATGCACATTCAATTAAAGAACTGAAAATATTAGAAAATGAACAAATCTGTGAGAGGTTTATCTGAGACACCTACATGTAACATCAAAGCAATCGTACTTTTCAGTTTTCAACAAGAAGTCAAAAATATCACTTTTTACCAAAAGTTACAAAAATATTCATCAAAATTAGAGAATTAAAGATACCATCAAGAAATGAGCAGGTCTACCTGAGGTACCTACCGTATATGTATTGTAGTTTTTAAGAAGAAGTCAAAAAAGTAAAAAGTTGACACATACGATGAAAGACACCGAGTGATAATCACTCATACATGTATGACAAGTGCTGTCAACAGCGAAGCTAAAAAAAAAGCAAACAACTTACTACTTTATATATGTAATTGCCTACCCTAAATTTCATGTCAACTTGGCTCACCCCTTGTATAACACCCCAAATTATACTGAATCCCTGTCTATTGTGACTATCGTGAATGGGTGTGAACAGGTAAACTACAGATCAACATGATCTGTTGACTGTTTCAAAAAGCATTAAATACTTCTTCCACATTTTTCAAAAATTATAAATTGTCATGTTTTAGAAAACCTCAACATGCATTGTATCACCATAGGCGGCGGGTCCTCGGTATTAGGCACTCTATGAATAAGGTATTTCCAGAGGTCAGGGTTCATTTTTTATAGGCAGTCTCGCCTGCAGTTGAATAAATTTTGCCTTGAATAAATGTTTACAGTAGTTCTTTCTTTCAGTTTTTTAGACAAGATGTACTGTAAAATGAAGCTCAACACATTTTCGATACAACTATCTGGTCTTGACAAATCAATATAAAGATAACTCCATCCTAAAAATAAACAGCTTGGAGGGTGTGAACGAGATCGGTTTAAATTGTTGTTTTTATGCAAATTCCTGCGGTCATCCTGGGACACACTGTCTATTGTCTAGACTTCGAAACAGCAAAATTGGGTTTTATGTGGCCGATTTCGGGTGGTTTGGGTTGACCAAGGTTTGACCAAAATGTTTGAATATGAGATCACCCCTTAGCATCTACAGTGATATTAAGTATAATATCTTTATTCAATAAGTAATAAGTTAATATTGAGTCATCTAAATAATATGCAATTCTGCAGACTTGATGATAAGTATCAGATGTAGTTATGTATACCAATTCTGGTGAGTTGTCGTATAATACAAATATTCTTCTATATTAATGCTACATTCACACAACAGCATTTTATCAGAGACCTGCACACAAATGTACGGCTCAAGCCAGTAAAAATGGCCAAGTATACACATTCGGCTCGGGCCAAGTTCAGCTCCACTCCACACACAAAGGGGAAAACGACACAAGGGTAAAAATGACAAGGAAAACTTATGTCGGTTACCGCACCACTGCAACAACCCAAGCCAGAAACCCGGACAAGAAAAGGCAGGTTATGCAGGCAGAGTCGCTAAACTTCATCCCCGTCGATGTGGAGAATGGTCATGTGGTTTGTGACGCAAGGAAAAAGAATCTTGGGGTCATGGGGCTCCCCCTGACCTAGAGTCTATCTTTCCATCATTGGCAGAATCGCTGATTAATGCCTACAGTTCAAAATGGTCATTTTGACTGACCGGAGTCTATGGTGGGTAATTGAACGTAGTGAATAGAAGAAATAATACTTATTAATAACACTTATATTTTATATATATATTCTATCATTTGTAAATATGGGTGATGGTCTGGACTTATTTGGGGAGGGAGGGGGTGGAATGGGTGTCATTTATATTGAAACAAACTGATGTGCATCATCAACCAAATATATTGAATATCACATTCTTGTCTGTTGTTGACCAATTATTAAGTGTCTGCGAAATTTGTTCAAATCACAAACTAAAATGATGTGTACTTATAACTCAATATGTATGATCATCACACCAACTTTGATCAAAATCATCCGAGTCATGTCTGAGAAACAGCTGCTGACACTTAAAAATGATGATTTCGTGCTTTTTCATCAAAATTTACCGCTGGCCAGCCGAATTGAATTGCATTACAAAAAACAGCTGCTGACACATTTGAATATAAAAAATAGCAAATTTTACGTCCAAAATGGGACCTTCTAATTAACACGTGGGACAGGCATGGGACTGTTTGGACACGCACAGGGGCGAACAGGGGGAAATACAGCAGCAACCCTTGTAATGTATGTTTGTTTTTGCTCAAGTCCGCCATGTTGTTTCGTAATGTTTGTTGGCGTTCAACAATAAGATAATACCATTCGATCCATAGGGGTGACAATGCTACGTATTTCAAATGATGTTGAAATACATACAAACGTGTAAAGATTCTGTCGAAATTAACTAAAGTATAACATGCCAGTTAAAAAGACATGTCTATTTACATTGAAATCAGCATTGTATGAATGTCGAAATGTATATTTATTTTTGTTGCAGAACAAGTTTGTACAAACAATATTGTTTAATAAAATTCATTTAAAAATATGAAAGACGTCTGTTATGTGGAAACTATTCACTTCATGTAAAACTTTATAAAGCATCGTTTTCTGATTGTTATGCTATGTTATATAATGGATTTAGGAGCTCTGTGGTTATGTAGTCAAAATAATGTTACAATATTAAAATGAACAACCACTTAGCCATAGTACATATCAAGATAAAACATAATTTGTCTAAAATCAAGTGTTACCAAAGAAGTGAGATTGTCACAAAATGTAGCAAATCGTTTTCAAAACAAATATTTTTGATAGTGCCACTAAGAAAGTCTCGCTATATTGCAACGTTCATTAAGACTTGGGAGTTTACTGCCTGTCTCCCTGTATGAATCTAGTTTGTAAAACATGTATTAAATAGACAACCCGCCCTTGTAGGAAAATATGTTTAATCAAAATTAGTCAAAGCTTATTAACTGGGCTTGGGATCTCTCCATCGTGTCAAGTGGTAATTCAATCGCAAACATGAACTCGTATAGCGGGCGATGAACTGAACTTGACCTTTCGTTTGTTAGGTCCAAGGCATTATGATGCGTCTCTTTATTATTATCACTATTTTCAGGGATTAGTACCATTCATGTCGCAAGTAATTTAATGATTTCATCACGTAATCGCAGAAAAAAAGTGTGCACAGGGATTGTGGTCTGTGTTACGGCCCAGGCTGTTACAAGTTGATCTGGGGATCTTGGGTTATCAGCTTGTAAATAATCTACTGTAACCATACACCGCACAAACAAACTAAAATGGGTTGCATAATCTCAGACTAGTAATACAACAGACTTGCAACGCCTTTTGTTTAAGGTGTTAATCGGCTTAATTGTATATGCTATGTGTGCTACGCACAGTAGCATTGGCATAGACACCGTCGAAGTTTACCAAACACCTGATATTCTGCATACTTCGCACTTCTTTAGAAATTGTGTATTTCTTCGTAAAACAAATCCAGGAGATGCGTTCTGGACATTTTGACCTTTACATTTGTGTATGAATTTTAAGAATCGACAAGTAACTGAATGTCTTAGTGTTTACCTCAAATAGTTTTTGAATATATAATGAGCAACTTTGAAACGATATTTCTCGCTGTTGCGGATTTTGCGGAAGGTTTCCAATATTTTTTCTGAGAGAGCATATCACTGCGTTTTGAGCGATCATACCACTTTGTGTGTTACCCGTTTTGTCTTTGTGTTCCGGGTTACCGAAACATGGGATAGCTAGTGTCGTGTACATGATATCTCTCAGCGTAATCCGGTTAACAGTAAAAACAGGAGATGTGTTATTTTTGACACTTTCGACTTCATAGTAAGCGATCTACGCGTTGTTCAGTGACTGTTTCAATAGTCTATTGTGTGTCAGTATTATTGCTATTTCGAGTTTCACTGATTTTGTTTGACTTCCGTCATAGTTTTGTGAAAAAATAACCCAGTATATTTCTATTTATTCCTAATTTCAGGAAATGGAAAACACAAGATCGCTCAGCAGTTGCCGGTCTAGGACTGCCAAGTTCTTCAGATTGTCAAATTGTCATTATCTGTCATTGTCAAAATGTTCTCCTAAAATAGCATCCCAGTCATAATTATCGTCCTCAGATTCGCCAAACTTTTCTGTAAATGCCATTTTCAAAGTTAATTGACAACTACTGTCATCTATGCCACTTTCTGTGTTTATGTCTCGCGGTGCATCGCGATAGTTGGTTGTAATACAAGTATGAATAGATCTCACGTTATTTTGTGAGATCTGATGAAAATCTAGTTGCTCAGCAACGTTTACTTGGTACGATAAGAACTGATAACCTAAACAAACGTGGCACGCATTACTTCAAAAGAAAACGCCGCGTTGCGAGTCTGTTGTATTACTATACTAGTCTGAGGCATTATATAGCATGGACATACTAATACAGGATGAAGCACGGTGTTAAGAGGATTAAATAAGCACTCAAGAAAGTTTACTTTTGGTGTTATAATGTTATATATAATAAACATTCAGAAAAAAAACATGATAAAAACAAGATCAAAATAATTGGATGAGTCTTGATTAAAAGAGGTGTGTACATCGCGTGAAAAATTTTATATTTCATACTATTTACCAATTTCAATGCTACTCAAAAACAATGACTGACAAGCATGCGCAGTTTCCCCCACGTGACAGGTGACCTTTCAAACATGGAAATAAATCATATTGTCAGAAGTTTGTTGATGATCGAGAAGTTACAGTAATTTCTTGTTGGTTTTTGAAATTTTTACTTAAATTTTTTATCGTATGATAATTCAACTATACCTTGATTTGCGACAAACAAGTTTAACATCAGAATCAAATTTTTATTATTCCTGTTTTTCACCATGGTCAACGTTAGTGATAACACAAGACAGCAGGTTTCAAACACGCTGTCAACTTTTTGTTAATTTGTTTTCACTTTCAGCTGTAA